CACTTCACATAATCTGTGATGTAAGACTAGCTGCTTCTTAAAATTTCCAGTCTGTTGGGATGCCTGGGTGGCTCAGTTGGTTGGGTGTCCAACTCTGGATTTCAGCTCAGGTCATGATCTCAGGGTGGTGAGATTGAGCCCTGTGTTGCGCTCTGTGCTCATTGGGGAGTCTGCTTGAGATTTTCTCTCTCTCTCTCCCCCTCTGCCCCTCCCCCTACTCCTCTCTCTCTTTTTAAAATTTTTTTTAAAAGATTTTATTTATTTGACAGAGACAAACTGAGAGAAGGAACACAGCAGGGGGAGAGGTAGAAGGAGAAGCAGGCTTCCTGCTGAGCAGGGAGCCTGATGTGGGGCTTGATCCCAGAACCCTGGGATCATGACCTGAGCCAAAGGCAGACACTTAACAACTGAGCCACCCAGGCACCCCTCTCTTTCTCTCTCTCGATAAATAAATAAACCTTTAAAAAAACTTCCAGTCTGTCACAGACTGATACATTTTAAAATACAAAAAAAAGGATTACTAGAAAATGAAATTTAAAAATACAAAATATAAGCCTATATCTTTCATTGTTATGTACAACAAACATAAGATTTCATTTCAGTAAATATAATCAGAAGAAATGTAACAGGAAAACAGAAAAAAAACCAAAAATAGTACATGTTCCTTGGAATTGTGTTTGTAAGCAATTTAATATAGAGAATGTCTATTTTACTGATAAATTTTTCTTTCCACAATTGTAACTAAACAAAGTTATGTGTGAAATAGTGAACTCTGTATTTAAACATCTGTACACATCCTTTCAGTGAACACTGTTTATATCAATATTTAAAGTTCTTATTTTGACAAATGAGCTTTCTTATGGCTTAACAACTTACTATTCTAGTTTGGGTTGATGATGATGCTAGTGTCACAGGGAATATTGTGTATCTAAAGCCTATGTTTTTATTTTATTTCATTTTTATTTTTATTTTTTTTAAAGATTTTATTTATGTGACAGAGAGAGAGAGATAGTGAGAGCACAAACACAAGCAAGGGGAGTGGGAGAGGGAGAAGCAGGCTTCCCCCCCGAGCAGGGAGCCCGATGAGGGGCTCAATCCCAGGACCCTGGGATCATGACCTGAGCCAAAGGCTTAACGACTGAGCCACCTAGGTGCCCCAAGCCTATGTTTTTAAAAAGATAAATTCAGTGTGAAGAAATCAGTTTTATGTTAAGGAAGGGAAGAAGAATTTTAAAGCAGTTTCAGTAAGATTGTAGTATTTTTAATTTTCAAAATGGGCTTGAAAATGCTCTTATTTCAAAAATCATCTTTGATCCTCTGTTCCAGCAATTTTTTTCTGAAAAGTTATAATGAAATGTTACCTTATTATTATTATTTTTAAATTCAGTTAACATATAGTATTATGTTAGTTTCAGGTATGCAATATAGTGATTTAGCAATTTGATACATTACTCAGTGCTCATCATGATACGTGTACTCTTAATTTCCTTTACCTATTTCACCCATCCCTTCATCCACTCCCTCTGGTAAACATTAGTTTTCTATAGTTAAGAGTCTATTTTTGGGTGTGTCTCTTTTTTCTTTGTTTTGTTTCTTAAATTCCACATATGAGTGAAACTGTATGGTATTTGTCTTTCTCTGACTGACGTATTTCACTTAGTATTTTACTCTCTAGATCTGTCCATGTTGTTGCAAATGGCAAGATTTCATCTTTTTTATGGTTGAGTAATATTCCGGTGTTTATATATACCACATCCTTTTTATCCATTCATCTATTGATGGCCACTTGGGGTGCTTCCATAATTACATTTCAGTTATCTTTTGATGAAAGAAATGGAATTCAGATCCATGAATTTGATCTTTTTTGAAGTAACATAAAATTCAAAAGTCTATTAAATTTGTAAGGTTTTGGATGATAATGTTTTGCAGATGTGAAATATCAAGCTTACCACCTATTTTACTGATGTTTATTATAAAATTATAGAACATATCACAATCTGTAGAATCTCTGTTCTTCCAATAACCTAACTTTCATTTCTGTCCTTTGATCTTACTTGTCATAGAAATTCTTTCCTTGCATGGAAGCATAAGTTCATTGAAAATACTGAAGATACCAGAAAAATAAGTCTTGCTTTTTACTTTATCTACTTTGTCCTAAAAAGTTCTAGAAACATTAAGCATTCATTTTATAGTTTGGAGTTCTCCACAGAACTTTCCCCTTTAATAAGCCCTGTTATAGCAAGTAATAACAGTTATTTATGATACATTTACATTTCACATAATAAAGAGAATATTCTTTTTTTAAATAATTTTTTATTGTTATGTTAATCACCATACATCATTAGTTTTTGATGTAGTGTTCCATGATTCATTGTTTGTGCATAACACCCAGTGCTCCATGCAGAATGTGCCCTCTTTAATACCTATCACCAGGCTAACCCATCCCCCCACCCCCCTCCCCTCTAGAACCCTCAGCTTGTTTTTCAGAGTCCATCGTCTCTAATGGTTCATCTCCCCCTCCGACTTACTCCCCTTCATTAAAGAGAATATTCTTGAATGCATTTGCCTAGCTTTATATAACTTACAATTTCTACTATGCACGGTATTTAGTTTGGCTGACATTTTTTTCAGTAATAGAAACTGTGCACTGATTAAAACTGTGGCACAAGCTTCTTAAATCTAGGATGCTTTTCCCATAGTTACTTCTGGCTACATGAAACTTAAAGTTTAATCCTTCATGTTTTTGTACAGTTAAAAATTTAGTTAACATTTAGTTAATTAACATTAACAAAAAATATTTGTATCATCCAGTTAATCACACGTTTCTTAAAATAATTTCCGTGTTGCCAATATCTGTGCATTTATGAAGCTGCAATAAAAAGAATGTTGTTGGCTTTGTTTTACTATTGTTCTTCCACATCATGATCTGTTTCTTGAATATGTTGAGCTATGTTGTCATTGAAATATGGTACTCGACCTACCTTCTTTGCCTCATATTCACCCAGCATTTCCAAACAGACAGCTTTGCAGTATTCTCCTAATTTCTCGACAGTTTTATGTAAGACAGTCCCTGAGTTTTGATGGCTAGACTTATGATGTTTTGAGTTGATGATGGTGTGAAGTGATACACATTCAGTAGAAACTGAACTTCGAATTTTGAATTTTGATCTTTTTATGGGATAGCAGTACATGGTATGATGCTCTTTTGTGATACTGGGCAGTGACAGTGAGCCACAGTTTCCAGTCAGCCACACAAGCACGATGGTAAACAACCGGTCCATTTATAACCATTCTTTACCCATACACACATTCTGTTTTTCACTTTCGGTACAGTATTCAGTAAAGTACATGGGATAGTCAATACTTTATTATAAAAAAAGGGCTTGCATTAGGTGATTTTGCCCAACTGTAGACCATTGTAAGTGTTCTGAACTTGTTTAAGGTAAGTTAGGCTAAACTATGATGTTTGGTATATTAGGTGTATTAAATGCATCTTTGATTTATAATATTTTCAACTTGTAATGGCTGATCCTTCTGCAGGTGACTAGTCTGCGGTTTTTACCATGGAAGTGGTAAAAGCACATCTACGTGCTTGGATGTTGTGGTAATGTCAAATTGCTGTAAAAGTTTCTAAATGCTTGTTCTCAGTTTCTATGTTTATTTTTTTTTAAGATTTTTATTTGAGAGAAAAAGAGAGAGAGAGTGCAGCTGGGGGGAGTGGCAAAGGGAGAAGAAGAAGCTGGCTCCCCACGGAGCAGGGAGCCTGATGCGGGGCTGAATCCCAGGACCCTGGCATCATGACCTGAGCCTAAGGCAGACACTTAGCTGATTGAGCCACCCAGGCACCCCTCTGTGTTTATTTTGTTAGAGCAGTAACAAGCGGTGTGCTAATTTCCACTCATCTGTAGATCATATTTTCAGTAGCATTGATTCAGGTTTTATAATGACAAAACATTCTACTCTGAGCATTATTGTGCACACATCTTTGTGCTTGTGTGTATCTGTAGAATTAATTCCTAGAAGTGTATTGCTGGACAAAGATTATGTACATTAATGATTTCAGAGGTTATTGCCAGTTTGCCCTCTAAACATATTGTATCCATTTTATCCTGTCAGTGGTATGAGTGTTTCTCCACATAAAATGTTTTGTAAAACATATTATTTTTACTATTAATACAGGTTTAAAAAAGTATATAACTATTTTGATTTACGTTGAGCATCTTTCCATATACTTATGAGCCCCTTGTGTATTTTTCCCTATGGGGTATCTTATCATGCCCTTTGCTTATGGGAGGAGGTTAATATTGGTCTTTTTTATTGATTTGTAAGAGCTCTTTATATATAAAGAAAATTAGCCCTTTCCCTGATAATTATGTTACATAGTTTTCCCTAGTTCTGTTTCTTTTTAAGTACTGATTTAAAATAGATGAATACACACTGACTTTAAACATACTCATTTTTTAAAAAGATTTATTTATTTATTTGAGAGAGAAAGAAAGAGAGAGTGGTGGGGGCAGGGGCATAGAGAGAGGGAGAGACAGTCTTAAGCAGACTCCACGCTGAGTGCAGAGCCTGACATGGGGCTTGATCTCACAACCCTGAGAGGATGACCTGAGCTGAAACCAAGAGTCAGATGCTTAACTGACTGTGCCATCCAGGCGCTCCCATAGTTACTTGTTTTTTAATTCTTGAATCAAGCTTTCTCTGACCTTGAGTCCATGCTTACTGGTATTATGCAGATGGCCAATTTTTACATGAGTGTCCATGTGACAGATAATAATGGCAATATATTATAAATTTTAATTTTTATGATTTTTATTTGTTCCAGATCCAAATGTTTTCTTTTTTATACTGTAAAGGGTCTTTTCTGATGTTTTCTGTGAACATTTAAATAGCCACTGATTCTGCAGAGGCTCAGTGATCTCTTAGTTATAGAAGAGGTAGAAAGAGTACTACTTTAAATAGTAGCCACCCTGATGGTATTTCTTGTTTTGCAACAGGAACCAAAGGAAGAGAATGGATTGCAGAAAATGAAGACAAAACAGTCGAATAGAACGAAGTGTTTGGCTAAAAGAAAAATTGCACGTATGTTTTTATTTTTGTGTTGAGAATGCTTTGAAAAGTACAGCATAGAATTGAGACTAATTTCTTCATTAAGAGAGATCTCTGAATAAGGATGTATGTGCTTCCTATTTGCTTTGGATTCCATTAAAATTTTTAAGATTCACTGTTACCTGCAACTTATACAGTTGACTTATTATGGGCAGAGGGTTGAAATTAAAATGTGAACTTCAGAGTTAGGCACACTTGGATTTTGAATCCTTCCTTCAGCCCTTACTATATGGACTTTAGGCAAGTTAGTGCTTTCAGCCTACCTCTGTTTTCTTACCAATAAAATACAGATATAATACTTAGTGGCTGAAATAATGGTACCTATTATAATGGTACTATTTTCGTCATGTTAAAAAAACAATATTCAACTGAGTAAATTTGAAGATTTAATTGGCTTTATTAAATGATTCATGAATTGGGCAACATTCCATCTAGTAAATAGAGGGGTGCTCCTGAGGAGTTGTCCAAAATGGAAGGTTTTTATAGAAAGGAGGGCGGGACAAGAAAATTATTAGCAAAAAAAAAAAGAGAATTGTTTTAGGCAAGATCATCTTCCCTTGCTGGGAAGAATAGGGGTCTTATTAGGTGGATTATGTCATCTTCCTTGGGGATGGAGAGTTATGTGATTATCTCATTGGTGCTTAATCAGAAACTTCCTGGTTGACAGGTTAAGACTTATATTTCTGGGGGAATTTGAAACTTTAGGTATTAAGCCCCGGTTTGGTGACTAGGCCTGGTCCACGTGACGCTATGTGGACCTGTGGTTTTCCTTTTCACGTTCATTAAAATTATAAGGGAAAAGGTCTTCTGTGTGTCTTTTCTACTCTTAACACTTCACTCTGGTCATCACATGTGTTGGGGGTTTTTCCCCTATACCAAGCAGTTCTCCAGTTTTTAGTCAGACACTGTCTGGTATCTCAATTCTGACACTGCCCAGAGATAGTATCAGATCCCACAGGTCTATCTTCACTTTTTGAAGGCAACTGTAAGTCCAGGTCGTTACCTGTGCATCTGACTGACTGGCTATACAGAGGTTTACATGACCCCCTCCTTGGAGTTGATTAATTTGTTAGAGTGGCTCCCAGAACACAGGGAAACCATTTATTTACTAGATGATTGGTTTATTATAAAGGATATAACTCAGGAACAAGCAGATGGAAGAGATTGTATAGGGCAAGATATGGGGGAAGGGCTGCAGAGCTTGTATGCCCTCTCCAGATGTGTCACTTTTTCAGTATCTCCACCAACCAGGAAACTCTCCAAACCTTGTAATTTACAGATTTTTATGGAAACCTCATTATGCAGGCACGAGTGATTAAATCACTGGCCATTAGTGATTGATTCAACGTCCAACTAGCCTCTCTCTCTGTTCCCTCAAGGTTAGGGGACAGGGATGGAAGTTCCAACCCTCTAAACCCACGGTTGGTTCCCTCATCCTTAGGGGCTTTCCAAAAGTAAGTGCATTAACATAACTCAGGTACGGTTGAAAGGGGTTTGTTATAAATAGGAAAAGATACCTTTATTCTTTTCTTTTAGGAAATTCTGAGGGATTTAGGAGCTCTGTGCCAGGAAACAAAGATCAAATATGTATTTATTAGTATAAGTCACAATAGGCCAAAAATTTTTTGTTGTAGGTTTTGCTTTCTTTGATTTTTACTCAGTCGCGAAGTTATTTAATTATTTTTGGCATTTTATTTTTTTTTTAAAGATTTAATTTATTTATTTGAGAGAGAGAGAATGAGAGACAGAGAGCACGAGAGGGAAGAGGGTCAGAGGGAGAAGCAGACTCCCTGCTGAGCAGGGAGCCCGATGTGGGACTCGATCCTGGGACTCCAGGATCATGACCTGAGCCGAAGGCAGTCGCTTAACCAACTGAGCCACCCAGGCGCCCCTATTTTTGGCATTTTAATGTGAAGTGAAGTGTTCAAGTATTTCAGTGAACTTTTCAAAAAATATGATAACTAGTTGAAATTATTACAAAAGTTGATTGGAGATAAGTAAGGCTTTATTTCACAGTTAATTTGAATTTCAGTGATTTAAGGTAGAATTCTTAGCTTTGTAAAATTAATCAAAACAGTTCTTTGTTGTGAGATCATTGCATTATGTCTAGAGGTCGCTGTCACTAGGTTGGATCTGTCAAATGTGCTCAAGTTACTTTCAGTATTGAAAATTGTTGATAATAGTATTTTTTGAGATGCAATAATCTTTATCAATTGATAGTTAAGTTTATGTCGTCATTGGTGGACTATTGATAGTTGGTTATTCTGAGTCTTTACAATCAAATTGGGTTTTATTATTTTTATGTTTTAAAAGATTTTATTTACTTATTTGACAGAGAGACACAGCTAGAGAGGGAACACAAGCGGGGGAGTGGGAGAGGGAGAAGCAGGGTTCTCCGCTGATCAGGGAGCCCGATGTGGGGCTCGATCCCAGCACCCTGGGATCATGACCTGAATTGAAGGCAGACTCCCAAGGACTGAGCCACCTAGGTGCCCCATGGGTTTTACTTTTTTATTTAGTTGTGTTATGCTTTTTTATTTGGTCTGACAATTCTTTTTATCTTTTTCATGTATTCTGACAACTTTTGTCTTTTGTCTTTTACAATTACATTTAATGTAACTATTGATGTTACTGAATTAAAATACACCATTTGAAAGCTGTTCGTTTGTTCCAACTGTTCTTTGTCTTTTTTTTCTGTCCTTTTTTTTTGTATTTGTTGACTATTTTGATTCCATTTTATTTCTATTATTTATATCTCTTTTAAAACATATTTAGTGGTTGTCCTAGTCTTTAGTACACACATTTATTTAATCACAGTCACCTTCAAATAATGTTATATTGTTTCATGTGTAGTATGGGCTGTGTAATGGTATGCTCCCAATTTTTGTCTACCCTACTTTGTTATTTTTGCCATACATTTTAGTTTTGCCCTTGTTATAGTATACAATACATTGATGCTATTTTGCTTTAGATAGTTAATTATCTTTTAGAGCAATGGAAATAAAAAATAAAGAATTCCATACTTTATTTTTACCATCTCAAGGGCTGTTTATTTCTTTGTGTAGATCCCAGTTTCTCTTGGAAAGCTTCCTTTATCACTTTTGTAATGTAGATCAGTTGCCAATTCTCTGTTTTTGAGAAAATCTTTATTTCTCTCATTTTTATGGAACTACTTTATTGAGATATAACTCATGTACCATAAAATTCATTCATCATACAATACTTTCATTATTTAAAGTATACAGTGGTTTTTAGTATATTAAGTGTTGTGCAGCTATTGCCACAGTCTAATTCTAGAACATTTTCATCACCCTCAAAAGAAACCCCATATACTTACCAGTCACCCAAAGCCTTCATCCCACTCAGCCCTCAGCAACTACTAATTTACTTTCTGTCTCCGTAGATTTGCCTATTCTGGACATTCCATGTAAATGAAATCATACAACATGTATCTTTTGTGACTGGCTTCTTTCACTTAGTTTAATGTTTTCACATTCCATGTTTTGGCATCATGAGTACTTCATTCCTTTATCGTTAAGTAATATTCCATTATATTCTGTGCCACATTTTGTTTATTCATTTATCATTTGATGGACATTTAAATTGTTTCTACTCTGGCTATTACGACTGAAGTTGCTGTGAACATTTATGTACAAGTTTTTGTGTGGACATATGTTTTCATTTCTCTTGGGTATATGCCTAGGAGTGGAATTCCTGGGCCATATGGCAACTCAGTATTTAATTATTTGAGAAACTTCCAGACTGTTTTCTAAAGTGACTACCTGTTTTACATTTCCACCACCATTGTGTGAGGGTTCCAATTCCTTCACATCCTTGCCAATACTTAATTTTCCTTTTTTTTTTTTTTAATTATAGGCATTCCACTGTGTATGAAATGATACCTGATTGTGGTTTTGATCTACATTTCTCTAATGACTAATGGTGCTGATCATCTTTTTGTGTGCTTATTGGCCATTTGTGTATTTTCTTTGGGGAAAAGTTTATTCATATCCTTTGCCATTAAAATAATTTTAATTATAAAACTCACATAAGACATACTATTTTAGCCATTTAAAAATGTTTTTATCATGAAAGGGGTATTGAATTTTGTAATATGTTTTTTCTGTGTCTATTGGAATAATCATTTGGGTTTTGTGTTTTACTTTGTTGATTTGGTATGTTAATTGCTTTTCTTATGTTAAACTAACCTTGCATTCCTGGGATAAATTCTACTTTGTCATAGTGTAGAATACTTTTTGTATGTTGCTAGATTTGTTTTGCTGGTATTATGTTGAGGATTTTTGCATCTACATAAGAGATACTGGTCTGTAGTTTTCTGGTCATGTCTTTGTCTGGATTTGGTGTGTTAGGCTAAAATTGGCCTCAGGGAATGAGTTGCATATTGCTCCCTCCTTTAATTTTTGGAAGAGTTGGTATTTTTCTTTAACTGTTTGACAGAATTCACCAGTGAAGCCTTCTGGGCCTGGGCCTTTCTTTGTGGCTAGGTTTTGATTACTGGTTCAGTCTCTTATCTGTTGTAGTTTTATTCAGGTTTCTGTTTCTTCTTGAGTCAGTTTTGGTAGTTTGTGTCATTTTAGGAATTTGTGTGTTTCATCTAAGTTAACGAATCAAGTGGCATATAGTTCTTGATAGTATTCCATTATAGTCCTTTTTATTTTTGTAAGATTGTGAGTTATGTCTCCACTGCCATTCCTACTTTTAGTTGTTTGAGTCTTCTTTTTTTTTCTCCCCCCTGCTCAGTCTAACTCATAGTTTGTCAATTTTGTTGTTTTTAAAAACCTAATTTTTCTTTTTATCAATTTTCCTGTTTTTCTATTTTCTATTGATTTCTTCTCTGTTACTCATTCCTTCCTTCCTTCTGCTTCCTTTAGGTTTAGTTTGCTCTTTTTTTCATGTGTCTTAAGATGGAAGTTAAGGTTATTGATTCAAAATCTCTCTTTTTTTTTTAAAGATTTATTTGTCACAGAATGAGAGAGAGCACAAGCAGGGGAAGTGGCAGGCAGAGGGAGAAGCAGGCTGTCCATTGAGCAGAGAGCCTGATGTAGGACTCCTATTCTAGGACACTGGGATCATGACCTGAGCCGAAGGCAGATGCTTAACCAACTGAGCCACCCAGGTGCCCCAAGATCTCTTGCTCTCTCTTTTTTCTTTCAAGATTTATTTATTTATTTATTTATTTGACAGAGAGGTAGACAGAGCCAGAGAGCACAAGTGGAGGGAATGGAAGAGGGAGAGGGAGAAGCAGGCTCTGCATTGAGCAGGGAGCCCGATGTGAGGCTCGATCCCAGGACCCTGGTATCATGACCTGAGCTGAAGGCAGACGCCCAACCATCTGAGCCACCCAGGTGCCCCAAGATCTCTCTCTCTTTTATTTTTTTAAAGATTTTATTTGAGAGAGAGAGAGAATGAGAGATAGAGAGCACGAGAGGGAAGAGCGTCAGAGGGAGAAGCAGACTCCCCACTGAGCAGGGAGCCCGATGTGGGACTTGATCCCGGGACTCCAGGATCATGGCCTGAGCCGAAGGCAGTCGCTTAACCAGCTGAGCCACCCAGGCGCCCAAGATCTCTCTTTTTTAATATAGGCATTAGACAGCTGTAAATTTCCTTTTAAGTACTGCTTTAGCTGCATCCTGTAAGTTTTGAAGACATATTTTATTTTCATTCATCTCAAACTATTTCTTTTTTCTTTCTTTTTTTAAAATTCAAATTCAATTTAGTTAACATATACTGTATTATTAATTTCAGAGGTAGAATTTAGTGATTTATCAGTTGTATATAACACCCAGTGCTCATTACATCAAGTGCCCTCCTTAATGCCCATCACCTAATTACCCCATCCCCCACCTCCCCTCCAGCAAGCCTCAGTTTGCTTCCTATAGTTAAGAGTCTCTGTGGTATTCCTCCCTCTCTGTTTCCATCTTATTTTATTTTCCCTTCCCTTCCCCTGTGTTCATCTGTTTTGTTTCTTAAATTCCACATGTGAGTGAAATCATATGGTATTTGTCTTTCTTTGATTGACTTATTTTGCTTAGTATAATACCCTCCAGTTCCATCCACGTCGTTGCAAATGGCAAGATTTCATTTTGTTGTTGGCTGTTGTAATATTCCATTGTATATATATACATTACATCTTCTTTATCCATTCATCAGTTGATGGACATCTGGGCTCTTTCCATGTTCTGGTTATTGTGGACATTGCTACTATAAACATTGGGATGCATGTGCCCTTTCGAATCACTGTTTCTATCCTTCTATCCTACTAGTATCCTCTAGTAGTGCAGTTGTTGGGTTGTAGGATAGTTCTATTTTTAACTTTTTGAGGAACCTCCATACTGTTTTCCAAAGTGGCTGCACCAGTTTGCATTCCCACTAACAGTGAAAGAGAGTTCCCCTTTCTCTGCATCCTTACCAGCATCTGTTGTTTCCTCTTTCCTCTTTCCTTTTTTTTTTTTTTTTTGATTTTATTTTTGAGTGACTTCTGTACCCAATGTAGGGCTCAAATCCACAACTCTGAGATCAAGAGTTGCATACTCTACTGACTGAGCCAGCCAGGCGCCCCAAAGTATTTTCTACTTTCCCTTTTGATTTCTTCTTTGACCGTTGGTTAATTTAGGGTGTTTTGTTTAATTCCACGTATTTGTCAGTTCTCTATATTTCTTCTGTTATTACTAATTTCACTCGTTATGGTTGGAAAACATATTTTGTATGTTTTTAATCCTTTTTTGTTTATTGAGGCTTGTTTTATTGCTATCATATCTGTCCTGAAGAATATTTCATATACACTTGAAGAAAATGTGTATTTTCCCAACAAGGGGAGTGTTCTGTAGATAATCTGTTTGGCCTAGTTGATTGGAGTGTTATATATGTGTTTGATCTAGTTAGGTTATATTGTTTAAGTTGTCTATTTCCTTGTTGATGTTCTGCCTAGTTCTCCCTGTTACTGAAAGTGATATATTGAATCACCTTCATTTTTGAAAAAATATTTCCCTTGTTTATAGAATTCTGGTTTGATGATTTTTTTCTTTCAGCATTTTCAGGCTGTTAACTCCATTGTCTTATGGCTGCAGAGTTTTTGATGAGAAGATGATGAGAAATCTTACCTTTATTCTTTTGTACATAACTTGTCTTTATTGGTGACTGCCTTCAATATATTGTATTTTTTAATTACCAGTTTTGATATGATGTTTAGGTGTGAATTATTTTTGGGTGGGGAGAATGGAATATATATATTTTAATAACCTTTTTGGATCTGTGATTTGTAGTCTTTTATTAACTTTTGAAAATTCTCAATTTTGTTTTATTAAGACTTTTTTTTTAGTTTTAGGTTCACAGCAAAATTGAGGGGAAGATACAGTGATTTTCCATTTACTCCCTTCATACATGTATAGCTGCCTCTATCAGAGTGGAACATTTGTTACAATTGATGAACATGGATTGACATGTTATAGTCACCCTAAGTCCATAGTTTACATTGGGGTTCACTTGTGGTGTTATCCATTCTGTAGCTTTTGACAAATATATAATGACGTGAATCCATCTATGGTATCATACATTTTCACTGTCCTAAAAATCCTTTGTGCCCTCCCTATTCATCCCACCCCCTGCTAATCTCTTATAACCACTGGTCTTTTTACTATCTCCATAGTGTTACCTTTTCCAGAATGTCATATAAATTGGAATCCTACAGTATGAAGCCTTTTCACGTTGGATTCTTTCAGTTAATAATATGTGTTTAAGGTTCTTCTGGGTCTTTTCATGTTTTGGTAGATAATTTCTTTTTACCAGTGAATAATATTTCATTGTCTGAATAACATTGTTTATTCACTCACCTACTGAAGGCCATTTTGATTGCTTCCAAGTTTTAGCAATTAAGAATAAAGCTTCTGTGAACATCTGTGTGCATTTGTGTGCATCTCTTAGGTAAATAACCAAAGAGCATGATTGCTGAATTGTATGATAAGAGTATGTTTAGTTTTGTAAGAAATCGCCAAACTGTCTTCCAAAGTGTCTGTGTCATTTTGCATTCCCATTAGCAATGAATGAGAGTTCCTATTGCTCCATATCCTCACCAGCATTTGGTGTTTTCAGTGTTCCAGTATTTGGTTATTCTAATAGGTGTATAGTTAATATCTCATTGTTGTTTTAAGTTGCATTTCCCTGATAACATATCATGTGGAATATCTTTTCATACGCTTATTTGCTATCTGTATATCTTTTCAGTGAAGTATCTGGTAAGGTCTTTGGCTCAGTTTTTGTTTGGTTTGTTTCTTATTGTTGCGTTTTAAGAGTTTTTTGTATATTTTGGATAGCATTCCTTTATCAGGTGTATCTTTTTTTTTTTAAGATTTTATTTATTTATTTGACAGAGAGAGACAAAGCGAGAAAAGGAACACAAGCAGGGGGAGTGGGAGTGGGAGAAGCAGGCTTCCTCCTGAGCAGGGAGCCCCATCTGGGGCCCTATCCCAGGACCCTGGGATTATGACCTGAGTCGAAGGCAGACACTTAACGACTGAGCCACCCAATTGCCCCTATCAGGTGTATCTTTTGCAGATACTTTCTCCCAGTCTGTGGCTTGTCTTCTAATTCTCCTGGTACTGTCTTTTGCAGAGCCAGAATTTTTAATTTTAATGAAGTCTAGTTTATCAATTACTTCTTCCATGGATTATGCCTTTGGTGTTGTATCTGAAAAGTCATTGCCATACTGAAGTTCATCTAGATTTTCTCTTATGTTATCTTCTAGGAGTTTTATAGATTTGTGTTTAATATTTTGGTCTATGATCCATTTTGAGTTAATTTGGGGAATGTGTTAGGTCATTGTCTAGATTCATTTTTTTGGATATGGATATACAGTTTTTCCAGCAACATTTGCTGAAAATACTCTGTTTGCTTCATTATATTGTCTTTGTTCCTTTGTCAAAGATCAGGTGACTGTATGGGTCTGTTTCTCCAGTCTCTATTCTGTTTCATTGGTCTCTTTGGGTTTTTGCTAATACCACATTGTTTTTGATTACTGTAGCTTTTATATAGTAAGTTTTGAAGTTGGGTGGCATCAGTCCTCCAACTTTATTCTCTTTAAATGTTATGTTGGCTATTCTGCATCTTTTACCTTCTTCATATAAATTTTAGAATGAGTTTGTTGATATCTGCAATATAACTTGCTGGGATTTTGATTGTGATTACACTGAATCTGCAGATGAAGTTGGGAAGAACTGACATCCTGACAGTGTTGAGTTTTTCTGTCCATGAATGTGGACCATGTCTTCATTTATTTCTTCTTTCATTTTATTCATCAGAGACTTGTAGTTTTCCTCATACAGATCTTATACATTATTTTGTTAGATGTATACCTAAGTTATAAGTATTTCATTTTAGGGATGATCATGTAAATGGTATTTTGTTGTAAATTTCAAATTACATTTGTTCATTGCTGGTATATGGGAATGTGATTAACTTTGGTATATTAACCTTGTATCCTGTAACCTTTCTATAATTCCTTATTAGTTCCAGGAGTTTTTTTTATCAGTTCTTTTGGATATTCTACATAGATGATCATGTTATCTGTGAACAAAGACAGTTTTATTTTTTCCCATCTGTATGTTTCCTTTTCTTGTTATTGCATTAGTTGGTATGTCCATTATGATGTTGATAAGGAATGGTGAGAGTTGACATCCTTGCCTTTTTCTTGTTCTTAGTGGAAGAGCTTTGAGTTCTTACCATTAAGCCTAATTTTAGTTGTTTTTTGTAGATTTTTTTTTTTTATCAGGTTGAGGAAGTTTCCCTCTATTCCTAGTTTATTGAGAGTTTTTATCATGAATGGTGTTTGATTTTGCCCACTGCTTTTTCTGCACCTATTGCTATGATCATGTGATTTTTCTTTTTTACCCTGCTGATATGTTGGATAACATTCACTTTTGAATGTTAAACCAGCAATGCCTATCTGGGATAAATCCAACTTGGTCATGGTATATAATTCTTTTTATGCATCGTTGGATTTGCTTTACTAACATTTTGTTAAGAATTTTTGTATCTGGGACGCCTGGGTGGCTTAGTCGGTTAAGTGTCTGCCTTCAGCTCAGGTCATGACCCCAGGATCCTGGGATCGAGTCCAACATTGGGCTCCTTGTTCATCAGGGAGCCTGCTTCTCCTTCTGCCTGCCGTTTCCCCTGCTTATGCTCTCTCTGTCTCTGACAAGTAAATAAGTAAAATCTTTTTTTTTTAAAAAAAGAATTTTTACATCTGTGCTCCTGAGAGATATTGGTCTGTAGTTTCCTTGTAATAATTTAGTCTAACTTTGGTGTTAGGGTTAATGATGGTCTTATAGATTGAGTTAGGAAGTATGGCCTCTGTTTCTATCCTCTGAAACAGATTATAGAGAATTTGTATTATTTCTTACTTAAATGTTAAGTAGAATTCACCAGTGAACCCATATGGGCCTGATGCTTTCTATTTTTGGAAGGTTATTAATTATGGGTTCTATTTTTTTTAAATAGATATAAAGCTATTCAGATTGTCTGTTCTTAACGTCAGTTTGGGCAGATTTTGTCTTTCAAGGAATTGGTCCATTTCATCTAGGTTATCAGATTTGTGAGTATAGAGTTGTTTGTAGTTTGTAGTATTCCTTACCTGTTTTTTAAAATGTCCACAAGATGTATGGTGATGTCCCCTTTGATTTTCAATATTAGTAATTTGTGTCCTCTCTCTTAGCCTGGCTAGAAGCTTATCAATTTTATTAATCTTTCCAAAGAACCAGCTATTGGTTTGTTTCATCTTGTCTGTTGATTTTTTTCTTTTTTTTTTTTTTTAAGAGAGAGAGAGAGAGAGAATGAGCTGGAGGAGGGGGGTAGAGGGAGAGGGAGAAGCAGACTCCCTGCTGAGCAGGGAACCCAACGTGGGGCTCAGTCCCAGGACCTTGAGATCATAACCTGAGCCAAAGGGAGCCACTTAACCAACTGAGCCACCCAGGCACCCCTTGTCTGTTGATTTCTTGTTTTCATTTCATTGATGTCTGTTGTAATTGTTATTTCTCTTTTTCTACTTACTTGGATATAATTTTTTTCTAGTTCCCTAAGGTGGAAATGTAGATGATTGATTTTAGGTCTGTCTTCTACCTAATAATGTGCATTCAGTGCTAAAAATTTCCCTCTCAGCACTGCTTTTGCTGTATCCCACAAATTTTGATAAGTTGTGTTTTTATTTTTTCTCTTGCGATTTCTTTGACCCATGTGTTATTACAACTGTGTTGTTTAATCTCCATGAGCTTTTGGGTTTTCTAGTTTTATCTTTTTGTTATTGATTTCTAGTTTACTTTCATTGTGGTCTGAGAGCAGACATTGATTGATTTTTATTTAAATTTGT